CATGGGTGCTCTGCCTATAAATTCTGTATATAGAGGAATAGCCATTCTTTATTTCTGTACTTTCCTAATCTTGCTTTCACAAGCAAGCAACAAAAAAATTTACGGGTGGGTGCAGTGGTCTGTAATCCTGGCATTTGGGAGGATCACTTGAGGCCAGAAGTTTGAGACCTCATCTCTACAAAAAATAAAAAATTAAAATTAAAAAATTAGCCAGGCATGTTGGTGCACACCTGTAGTCCTAGCTGCTTGGGAGGATCACTTGAGCCCAGGAGCTGAAGGCTGAGGTGAGCTGTGATCACACCACTGCACTCTAGTCTGGGTGATGGAGCAAGACCCTGTCTCAAAACAAACAAACAAAATATATATATATATATATAAATTTATAATTGCAATAGATTTAAAATATGACAATCTTTAAAATTCTTCTATTTTTTATGGGATATTTATGGTTATCTAGTTGTGTGTTGCCACCAAAATAATCTAGGAGCAAGCAAACAAATGACCACAGTTGTATACCTTATTTGTGCAGAATCAAAAAAGAACACATGATTGAGATGTGATGTAGAGGAAGTAGGAGGGTGATTTTTCTGAAAGTAGCCTCAGTAGTTTTGGTCACCATGCTTTAAGGATGATGTTACAGAGAAGGCAAAACAGTTAAGTGTAGGTGTTTTGGCCCTTTTCAGGTACATTCTTTCTTTGAAACAATGGCCTTTCTGATATGCAGTTTCCTCACGAACCTTCTGTCTGTTCTGAAGAGAGAACACTGCTCCACCAAGCTCTCTGGCCATCTCACTGAGCCGCGTACCTTAGGCTCTGATGATTGTTTTTCTAGACAAGCTAGCCTACAGTAGGTTTTAAAGGGTAAACAACAGGATATGGTTTATGTGAAGAAAAGTTTGAGAGTTGACCTCTTTATCCTAGGGATGGACTAAGGGATAATAGTTATATGCTGCTCTCAAGAATTTAGGAGGAGGCAGCATAACCTTCTCACTATTCAATTGTTGAAGAAAATCAGCTTAGATTTCAGTGAGAGTGTGAATTTGGACTTAAGAGTTTCGGGGGCATGAAGTATTAAAACATCCTAGGTTAGAAGTTTCTGTCTGAATATTTTGAAGAAGATAATCATTTATCCCATATGGTTTAAATAATCCCTGTCTGAGGTCTAGACCATTACTATTATCTGGTTTCAATGTGCATATTTTAGGAGAATGTACTATACTATATTTTAATACTTTAAATAGAAATATTAACATAGTATATTCTATAGTACATTCTAAAATATAGGGGGATGAATTGTACTATAGTATTAGAATTATTCTCTGTTCATGTTAGAAGGAATCAAATTGATTTCCTCTTGCCTTGGTCTAATGACTCTCCCTCTCTCTTTCTAACAGGCAGATTTGAAGAATCAGCTGGGAGATGCTGGATACGTATTATTTGGAGTGGTGCTATTTGTTTGGGAACTCTTACCTACCACCTTAGTAGTTTATTTCTTCCGAGTTAGAAATCCTACAAAGGACCTTGTAAGTAAGCCATTTTATATTTGTAAGAAAATATCTCCTGACTGTGATCATGAAACTTGCAATTAGAACTTTTTCTTCACTTTTCACTAGAGAAGAGGGCCTCTTCCATTCTGTGGTGGTATGAAAAGTTTCCTTGAGTATTTTATTGAGACACTCATTTCCCTTATTTTTTGAGGGAAAATGTTTTTTCAGCTTAGTTTTATTTTACAAAAGAAATGAAAGTATTGTAAGTTGCATCTTAAGGCCTGGGGAAAGTGAT